CCCCCCAATGACTTTGACGATCGACGATCGCGCGATCGACGGCGATCGATAATATCGATAACTGCGATTATTTTCAATTATTTAATATTCGCGATAATTTATTTTGCACTAATGCTATCCGGTGCCCGATAAATTATTTCATCGCTTAAATTGTTTATGAAAAGTACCAACGAGGTTTAATTAACAAGAGAACAACGGTTGCACAAATCGGTCGATGAGTTATTAAAGTTTTATTTTCCTTTAAAATTATATTACATCTTAATTCTTAATAATTTAATTTATTATAATTACATTACTACGAGCCTGCGGCACTATTGAAATTATGGTGGCTGATCATTTGAGAAACGGGCTACGAAACCCGTTCATTATCTACCTTAACTAACAAATATTTTACGAACACAGGTACCTACTATACCAGACTGGCTGACACACGAATTCGGAAACGGTCCTCCGGTGCGTATTGGCGCTGATCCAACGTTAGTTCCCAACGTCCTTTGGTCGACGTGGGAAGAATATTTAGGTAATGAAACCAGTCTCGAAAGCATTAAATCCGTCGGCGCAAACAAACGTGTTCGATTTATACGCGTTGTTGCATCGTTTGTCATCCAGCAGACACGTAAACGGTCGTCGCTGTCGTCATGAAAACGTTTAATCTCCTTGCATCTTTACGACTCTCGATTTTGTCATCCAACTTGTTTCTTAAGTGATGTTTCACGATTAATTGAAGACATAAATCTCCTTGATCGATTACCGTGTGTACCTTTTGATAGGATGAAATAAAAATCAGACTCGAATATAATATTGTACATTTTTAAAAACATTTAACCATACTTGTGTTTGATTGATGACATTTATAATTTTGTGACACTTTTTTTTATCAGTTTTCAAGACAGTTTGAATATGAAGTGAGATAAAAAGAATATGAAATGAAAATCAGACTTGAATATTATACATTTTAAATAATCATCGAGTTCAGAAATCACAGTAATGTCTCCCTAATTGACGCCAAATTGTCCAGAAAAAATGGACAATTTTTTAAGAGGAGATACGATTGTTCGAGCCTTGTGGCTCGTTTTTTATGGTTATCAATTGTCAACGATTATAAAAATAAGCTGCAAGGCTCGACTAATCGTATCACCTCTTCTCAAATTGTTTATTTTTGTTCGCAATCAGAGCGCGAATGAGGGAGGCATTACTATTATATATATATGTTTAAAAATAGTAATTACTATTATACATATATTACTACTATTATAATACTATTATATATAATACTATATATTATATATACTATATAATATATATACTACTATATAATACACAATATTGTAGTTGCTAACTAAATCATATATATATTTAAAAATAGTATAATAATAGTATTATATCTGTCTCTTATACACATCTAGATGTGTATAAGAGACAGATATAATACTATTATTATACTATTTTTAAATATATATATGATTTAGTTAGCAACTACAATATTGTGTATTATATAGTAGTATATATATTATATAGTATTATAATAGTAGTGATATATGTATAATATATATATTTTACTATTATACATATATTACTATTGAAAAATCTAAACAAAATGATTTAGTTAGCAAATACAATATTGTTATATATATATAACAATATTGTATTTGCTAACTAAATCATTTTGTTTATTTATATACATATATATACATCTTTGTTTTAGTGATGAATATATCTTTATTTATTCCCGCTTTAAACAAAAATACAATATTGTTAAATGATCGTACTGTACACCTTTTTGTAAACGTTTGGCCATGCGGCTGTAACGCGCGGCTTGAAAGATCAATCGAAACGTTCCCGTTGCATCTTCCGTTTACCGCGAACGTTACACCCCGAGCGTATCAGAAAATCTCTTCCACCCTTAACGGCCAGACGACCGTGGCCCCATAATTAACGATAGCGTTCGTGTCCAGCGAATTCATCCGTAAAATTGGTTCCCGTCCGTAACAACCTGGTGGACTTGATCTGGCAGGTCGGCCGACCGAATTACAATCCGCACCCGGCTTATCCGTTGCCGGACAAGTTCTCCGGAAGAGCCTGGCAGGAAAAGGTCCGGCTGGTCCGGGCGGAAATGAAAGACTCGGGCGCCGATGCTCTCGTCGTCACCGCGCTCGACGAAATAGCCTGGCTATTGAATATTCGTGGCTACGACTTGCCCGACACGCCCGTCTTACGAGCGTACGTTGTCGTTGCCCAAGGCGCGTTACATCTGTACACGCCCAGGCACAAAATGCCGAGCTCGGTCGAGGTGCATTTGAAGGTAGACTACTGCAACCATGAGAACTGCGTGAGGTAAGGAACATTTTATTTATTGTGCGTTACATATTCGGAGAACTTTATAATCGGTAAATCACCGATACGTGTGCTAGAATGTAATTACAGTGTGCGTGTGTGTGCGCGTGTTCGTTACAGATGGCATAACTATACTTCTATTTGGTCCGACTTGCGGACCATGTCGCAAGCATGGAAAACGGTATGGTTGCCAACACGATGCGGATACACTCCAGGCGTTTCCAAGGAAGTGTACGATTCTGTACGTATAAATTGAAGCCAATCGAATCAATGATTCGTTGCTGGTAATGTATTATTTATGCAGTTACGTATCTGATTCGGTTGCGATGTTGGACGATTTTTCTCTACGAATGTGTTACATTCTCTCTGTAATTATTTTACACACAATCGTTCTACATCGATGTTCATAAATATCTAGAAATATCTTGATTCAAGTGATTATAATGATATTTCGTTTTATTATTTAAGATATTTAAAAATATCTTGGTTCGAGTAATTATAACGACTTCGTTTTATTATTTAAGATATTTAAAGATATCTTGATCCAAGTAATTATAACGATTTCGTTTTATTATTTAAGATATTTAAAAATATTTTGATTCAAGTAATTATAACGATTTCGCTTTATTATTTAAGATATTTAAAAATATCTCGAGTTAAGCAATTACAATGACTTCGTTTTATTATTTAACATATTTAAAAATATCTTGAATTAAATAATTATAACGATTTCGCTTTATTATTTAAGATATTTAAAAATATCTCGAGTTAAGCAATTACAATGACTTCGTTTTATTATTTAACATATTTAAAAATATCTTGAATTAAATAATTATAACGATTTCGCTTTATTATTTAAGATATTTAAAAATATCTCGAGTTAAGCAATTACAATGACTTCGTTTTATTATTTAACATATTTAAAAATATCTCGAATCAAATAATTATAACGACTTTTTAAAATATTTAAAAATATCTCGAATTAAATGATTATAATAATTTCGTTTCATTATTTAAGATACATAAAACATTCAATATTACTTAAATACAATAACTTCGTCCCATCGGATCGTTAACATATATCACACTGTGTATAGCAGCAAACGCCCGGGTGCCTGTTCACACCTATACACGTATTAGAGCGGATAATCCTAGGCGAGGATACACCTTCGCCATCATGTTCCCCTAGCCTCGTAGAGCTTGTTGAGCTTAGCTTGATCGCCACGTGACGAGCTGACACACCTCCGTAAACATAGTCGAAACACGGACGGAGTGGCCTTTTCACGTATTCCGATTACTGGAACTGGAACGTGGAACTGGAATGCCCAGACACGCGGATGCCGGGCAACTAGATAGCGGCTATAGCACGTTCCACGTAGCTGCAGTAGTATGCAGTATGCAGCCGCGGCTGTTGCGCTTATCGCGATAAAGGTTTACCTTCTCTACGGCATGCTAGCCGGTGCTTAGGGACGCCTGGACGCCCGCGGCATCAGAAACCAGAGAGCAATTCTCTCGTTATTAGAACCTACTAGGGTAGATATTTCAGTTACCGTGCGGGCTCCCCGGCCACTGTGTGCCTTCGGAACAACTTTAAACGTAACGAACGAGACACAAATTTTCATTCATGTGTTACAAAGAAAATTGTAATTTATTCACACATGAGATGAGAAAAGTTAGACAGTGACTCGCGATACGGCGTGATTTTCCCGGAATGCTTGACGAGATCTAGGTCTACCGGAAAGTTCTGTCCGTTTTTGAATTGAAATATAACACAAAATTTCCGTACATTTAATAATATTTATTGTAGAATATACTTTCCATCGTTGCTTATGTCTTCTTGCCAGTGTGATGACAACTTGTGAATGTCATTTTTAAAAAATGATTTATTTTTAGAGGCGAAGAACTCGACTAGTGTTTGATTGATATCAGCTTCAAATTTTCATTCATGTGTTACAAATAAGATTGTAATTTATTCACACCTGAGATGAAAAAAGTTAGACAGTGACTCGCGACACGGCGTGATTTTCCCGGAATGCTTGACGAGATCTAGGTTTACCGGAAAGTTCTATCCGTTTTTGAATTGAAATATAACACAATTTTCGTACATTTAATAATATTTATTGTAGAATATACTTTCCATCGTTGCTTATGACTTCTTGCCAGCGTGATGGCAACTTGTAAATGCCATTTTTAAAAAATGATTTATTTTTAGAGGCGAAGAACTCGACTAGTGTTTGATTGATATCAGCTTCAAATTTTCATTCATGTGTTACAAATAAGATTGTAATTTATTCACACCTGAGATGAAAAAAGTTAGACAGTGACTCGCGACACGGCGTGATTTTTCCGGAATGCTTGACGAGAGATCCTTGAGAAGATTCAATTAATTATTAATGTATTAGGTCTACCGGAAAGTACTGTCCGTTCTTGAATTGAAATATAACACAAAATTTTCGTACATTTAATAATATTTATTGCAGAATATACTTTCCATCGTTGCTTATGTCTTCTTGCCAGCGTGATGGCAACTTGTAAATGCCATTTTTAAAAAATGATTTATTTTTAGAGGCGAAGAACTCGACTAGTGCTTGGTCGACATCAGCTTCAGTTTTGAATTTTTTTTCCTGTAAAAAGTTTTGCAAAGAGAGAAATAAGCGATAATCGGAGGGTGCTAGGTCTGGGGAGTATGGTGGATGCGACAGAATTTCCCAGCCTAGCTCTGCGATTTTCTGACGAGTCGCCGAAGCAGCATGTGGTCTGGCATTATCATCGGTGGCCATGTTTTCACGATCGCGTCTCGCTTAATAATGACACGAGACATCTTTGTTTCAGTTTATTTAGGAGAGTACATGTGCGTAAATGCAATGATAAAGAGAGATAGTCATATATGTCTCGAATCAACATGTGCATATGGATTGAAACTTGAAGTGACACTGTCGGACAGAACTTTCCGGTAGACTTAATTACATTCGTGAATGAATGTAACTAATTTCACGAATTATCAGAACGTAACCGAACAGATTTTTGCGTGTCTCTTGGTAATCTTGGTTGTTGTAAACCGTTTTTCAGATTCCGCCAGAGAAACGTATGTCGAAACCGTCGCCGATCGTAAATTTTCGAGCGCAGAAAAACGCGATCGAGGCGCAAGGCATGCGAATATCTCATCTGAGGGACGCGGTGGCGATGTGCGATTTTTTGGCGTACATGGAGGAACAGTACGATCTGAATTCGAACGGTTGGGACGAGATGCAGGTAGCTAGATTGGCGAACGAATTTCGTTACGAGCAGGATAACAATCGAGGTATCTCATTTCCTACTATCGCCGGATACGGGCCTCATGCCGCGATCCCTCATTACGAACCTAACAATCTCACGAACATTATGATTGGGAAAACGTCTACTTTGGTAGTGGACTCCGGAGGTCAATACTTAGGTAATAATAAATACTTAAAGATAACTATTTCCGATTCGAATTTACTTCACATTTTATTTTTTTACTATATTACTTAAGATGTCCATTAACCCTCTGTTGGGCCGAATTGTTTTCTTACATATAAACAAATTTATGCCACGGAAAATCAACGATTGTAAACCTATGTATGCCAATTGTCCCTCAACTTGTAAACAAAATAAGAATCTAATAAAAAAAAAATCAAATAAGATTTTATAAATCCCATAGAACTTTTGCAGAATTTGAAGAGTAGAATTTTCTAGGCATTTAAGAATTTATCAAACAATTGATCTTACAGCCCGACGGTAGTTTAAAGATGTGCAACATGATTCTATGTTATTCTCAATTGTTTCTTAACAGATGGAACAACTGACGTAACGAGAACCCTCCATTTCGGAATTCCGACGGAAGAACAGAAGAAAGCGTACACAAGGGTACTGATTGGAGCAATACAATTATCGTCCATGGTTTTCCCAAGCAACGTGAAAGTCAGCCAGTTGGATGCTGTTGCACGATTCCCATTGTGGAACGTCGGTTACGACTATTTGCATGGAACAGGCCATGGGATCGGTCACTTCTTATCTGTCCACGAATGTTTGTAGCTACACATATGTAGTTAAAATTAAGTAATCGCAAGACAATTTACCATAGAATCCACAAATTCTTAGTTTGTCGTTCCACACTTTCCAGTTCAACTTTTATTTAACTCTAAAATGGCTCGAAATTAACGGGGCACGAAATGTATATTAATCTTAGGCGAATGTCATATTATTATCGAAAAGCTGCTAAACGATTAGCCCTGTTGCACAATTCAATCTAAAAAGAAATGAAGTCGACATTTATATAATAGTATAATAATAAATATAATCTTGGGTTGGCAACTAAGTAATTGCCGATTTCAGTTATAGATGTCTCTCACTCCCATTTTTATGATATCCGTAAATGTTATGTTATAAAATTATTATTATTATTATTATGTTATTTTTTATTTTCCGTGAATGTTAGCAACTGGACAAATTGAATGCAGCGGTCAAGGAAAAGCGACCAGAATTGGTAGATCGTTGTTGAAATTTTAGCCTCGAACAAAAATTAATCTATAGTTTACTTAGTACTAAGATACTAAGATATCGGTTTACATTTTCGCCGGTTCCGTCAGCGGGCAACGACGGTGATGTAAACTGTATATGTATAGTAGATACCGCGATACATCATCACCGGTACTATTAGATATACATCGTACCTTGACTGTTTGGGGGTCCCAGCGTCACGTATACAATGTGAAACGCGACAAATAAA